CGCGTTTTTGCTGCTTCTGCAGCTTTTGGTCTGAACGTAGCATTAGCTGTCTTGTTATCGCTGTTTTCCAGACCAGTAACCACCTTCTGGGGCCGAAGCCCTTCCCTCTGGACCGCCTCCTCGCCATCTTCTACAGCGTGGTGGACAGCAGAGTCGCTCCCACTGCCAGCATCTTCTCCCAGGTCTGAACAATTACACTTTAACTCTGTTCGTGATTCTCAGTGTCCTAACATCTTTATCCTGATTCTTTGTTGAATCGCTGATATAAAACCAGGTCTGAAAATCAGCTGTCAGTCCTCTAAACTTTTCAGCTATATATTTATGTAACTAATAAAGTTTTCTAGTGAAGAAATAGGGGTCCCTATGTCCTCCAGCAGTCTAAGCCTATAGCAGCATAACTATAGCGATAGCTCAGGATAACCTGAGCCACTTTAATCTAAGAATTCTGACTTTTTTCTCAGATTCATCGAAAAAATAATTGACAGATCAATCGATTAGCAAAATAACTGTTAGTTGATGTCCTACTCGTGACCATTACACATAAAACCAATCGATTTTAGAAATCATTTAATATAAAAAATTCCTGTCTTTAGTTTTGTTCTACAGGGTTTCCGCGGGTCATTAAAGGTCATTAAAGTTCATTAAATATGATTATCGTGGCATTTAAAATGCTTTATTTAAAAAATAATTAATAAAAACAGCTTCGTCAGATATGTTATATTGCAATATATTTGCGTGGAACTGCAACCGTTTGGTCGTAAAACCGTCTGTCCGGAAAAGAAGCTCGAGGCAGAGAAAAAGTTAGAGAATGGGGGAAATGCAGTTTAAATAAAGTGGCTGGAAAGCGAGGAATTCTGGACATGGATGCAGCCTGTCGACGGTAAACATGATAAAGGATTTTTCCGTGTATATATGAGTCATGGGTACTTAAAGTAATTTCTAAGAGCATTAAAAAAGCGTTACTCCTTCCTGTATAAACCCTGTTGTAACTTTTATTGAATTTCCTGTATCAGCCGTTTGTGGATCATAATGGAGAAGATGAATCAGTTCATGAGTCTTTTTTAATCTCTGCTTAGATCTCGTCTTTAGTGACTCTGCAGCTGCTGACTCTGGTCAGCCACGACGATCAGCTCGACACACCCAAGTACAAATGTGCCGTTTCTCTGGATTTTATTTCTGCCATATCCAGGTGAGTGTGCCACTGCTCCTGTCTTATCATCTAACAGCTGCGGCTGCGAGTTATTCAACGTAGCTGACCTTTACAGAGTCTTATGTGCTGTGGTTTATTTTCCAGGACGGTGAACTTTGATATTGTGAAGTATCTGTATGATTTCCTGTGAGGCTGCGGAGCGTGAAGGAGAGATGACACCACGGTGACAGGGAGATAAAGAGAGATTTATTTCTGCTGGAAAACCCTGCAGGAGAAGACGGCTCAATGTGAAAAATTGTCCTAACATGTCACTGCCACCTTGTGGCAAACAGTTTACATTATTATTATTATTATTAATGTATTTTTTTGATGTTTGTAAAATTTGCATTTAAACAAAATAAAAATTATGCTGCCAGAATTTTAATTTCTTTATATTTATTTAAAGATAAGATATTTTTACCGTATTTCTAAGATCTCTCCAAAATTAACCGTGTTGTGCTTTAATGTCACACGCTTCCTGGAGATAAAAATAACCTGGTAGATGGTCAAAAGGTGAAAGAAATGCTAATTAATACGCCTGACCAGCTGATCGGCATCATAGGCGCCGTTCCTGACGTGAAGCGATCCTGGCAGCGTCCAGGAGAGCCTCCAACCTCGCTTCATACTGTTCTTTTAAATTTAATTTTTGGTTATAAAAGCTCATGTTGACCTAAACGCTGTAAATTATTGTTTGTCTTTTCGTGACATTTAGTCGGAATAGAGCAACATTTGTTTCCTTGGTCTCCTAAGCCACTGACCTCCATTAAAAGTTGCTTTTCTTTGCTTACAGCATCTTAAATTTGCACTGAGGTTACCTTATTTATACAGAAATATAAATACATATTTTTTAATTCTATCAGAACCATGCACATTTTAACTCTCATTGATTACTGCTAGCATTTATAGAATGAAGGAAAAAACCTTTTTTGCGACTTCCATCTCAGAATATTACCAAGGAAGAGGATTGGGGCCACTGGAAACAAATAAAGTTAACTGATTTTTATTTATTTATGATTATCATGGAGGAAAAAAGTCTACATTCTGACTTTAAACTCAGCATTCTGAGTTAATTTTAGTTTAATATAGGGGACATTTCAGAATTCTGAACTTAAGATCAATTTGAATTCTGGAATAAAAGTCAGAATTCGGATTTTTCTCCCACATTAAAATCAAGTGAAATTAAAGAATGTTAACTTTTTTTTTTTTTTTGCAGTGGTCCTACTCATCCTCCTCCCGTATATTACCTGGATGTTGCCTCTGCTTCAACACACCTGAATGAATTCTTATTTCCCTACTTTAGTTCAATCAAATTCTGCAGAATTCTGTTGATTACTAATTTATATTTATTAGGCATGCGGAGAAAGGGAAAACATCTAGAGCGGAGGTCTTCAGCAGGGGTCTGCGACCCCTAGGGGGTCATGGGAGGTACTGCGTGGGGGTCACAAGTTTTGGTTGAGTTGACGTTTTTTATATTCCCCCCTGCAATTTTTTTTCACTAATTGAAATGTCTTTAAATC